TGCACGAGGTTTCTGCCATGCGGTTGTTGATATTGTGATGTACGAGGTTTCTGCCGTGCGGTTGTTGTTATGGGGTTGCACGGGGTTTCTTCCATGTTGTTGTTACTATTGATATCTGTGTGTGTGTGTGTCTGTGTGTGTATGTGTGTGTGTGTGTGGAGGGGGGGTGTGTGTGTGAGGGGGGGGGGGTTGCACATGTGGCGAGATAAGGTGGGAACATTATTATGCACGTGTGGTGAGACACGGCGGGCATTTACTTTACTATTGCACATGTGGCGAGACAAGGTAGGCTGTGTCACGGATTGATTTGTGCTGATTTGTGATGGCCTGGGGGCATTCTTGTTGTTGATATTTGTGTAGTGTTACACTTACTTGTGTGAGCTTTACCTTGTGAAAGTTGTGAGAAAACATTCTACGTGATGTCCCTTCTTTTCCTTATGCTTACTAGCTGGTATGAACTATGTTAGGACACTTGCACAAGCATACACGTAGTTAAGCACTTTTATCGGATAAGAGGTTTTCTTGATATTGTTAAGTATAGATGAAAGCCTTGTTTACTTGCCTTCTATGTGAGAATGACTCTATTTGGCACGCGAGTCGTCGGTGCGGTTATGAGGTATAACGAGGGCACAGGATGCCAAGTGTTAGGGTTCAGGTATTGAGACCCGTGAGTTGTGATTTGTCCGAGGTGCGGCACCTCATGGAATTTGTTGACTAAAAACTGATGTGAAAGCAGTCGTAGTTTCTGAGTTATTGCTTGTCTTGCTGTAACTATGATTTCGGATTTAGGTTGTGTTTCCGTTCACTCTTCTATGCCATTATTATGGTATTTCGCTGATACTTGTTGTTTCCTTTTGCAATTTCTGTATTGTTAGCTATATCGCGTAGTCTTTATGTAGACGCCATACTATGTTGTTCCTATACTTATATTTGTTCAGGTTATTTAGTCAGTAGGTGTCTCGACTGGTCCTCGTCACTACTCCACTAAGGTTAGTCTGATACTTATTGGGTACCACTGTGGTGTACTCATACTACACTTCTGCATATTTTTGTGCAGATCCAGGTATTGATCGTTAGTAGCTGTGCGGGTCGTTGCTGTGGAGACTCAAGGTAAACCTGCTGCTGCATTCGCAGGCTTCGGAGTCACCTTCTAGCTTTTTGTATTGCACTGTTTACCCTTATTTTCGAACAGTTGTATTCAAAAGTTTCTAGCAAACACTCTGTAGAACTTATAACTTGTACTACCGGTTTTGGGATTGTAAATTTGTATAAAGACTTCAAATTCGAAACTATCAGATGTTAGTTATATATTGTTGTTATTTCAGTTAAATATTGGGCTTATCTAGTCTCTAAGACTAGGTGCCATCGCGATACCCAATGGAGGAAAATTTGGGTCGTGACACTTTTATATATGTAATCACAGTTATATCCGATTTTCAGGTTCCTCTCTAACTACTCAAACTTCTATTATGAGTTCGGGCTCGTGCTTAGCATGGGCTAGCCCTACTATTTAGAAGCGGGAGTTGTGGCTCTACGTTGTCCTGCTTTCGGAGTTACGATAAACTCCCTTTTCTACATCAAAAACTAGGGGTATTTTAGTCTTTTATGCATAAATTTTTTCCTTTCCCTTCGCGCTCTGTTTCTCTCTCTTGCATACGCGCCCTTCCCCCGTCACCTCTGTTAGTGACGTGGAAGATAAACTAGTTCTTTGCTTTTGGTGCTGTGAGGTGTTTTCCTAGCTCTCCAACACCAATATACTTGTCCCTTGAAGTATGTTTACTTTGGTGCCCTTGCTTTTCTATATTTGAAAACCCCATGTTTTGCTTCGGTTTCCTCTTTGTTTTTCTGTAGCTGGGCTTTTAGTGTAACCAAAGTGAGAATGATTGAAATTTTATACTCCTTCCGTTCACTTTAACTTGTCCACTGTGAATTGCATACCCCTTAAGAAATAATAAATGAAGTGCATAATTTACCATAATATTTATATTAATTGATGCACATTTTTAATGAATTTGAGAAAATGATTTGATCAAATGAGTAATTAATACTGTGGGCGTAACAGGAAAAAAAATTATTTTCTCTTGATATACTAAAAGTGACAAGTAAAACTTGACGGGTGGTGTGATGTGAGAACTCCCCGCTGCATATATGTCAGCAAGAAAGAGGATGAACAAAGACAGATTATTTTTTTCTCTGCTTCATCTTCAGATTTCAGTTTTATCTTAAATTGATCCATTTTGCTGCTACTTTCGAGATCACCGGTTAATCGAAGGTCAGTAACTTTCCTCCCAAGGTTTTATCACCAAGAGATCTGTAAAATCTCAATGCTAAAGCGTGTTTTAGGACGCTTCTTTTGCTGATTTTGTGTGGGAATCTAAGCTGCCTTTGAATTTTCTTGAAAGATAGAATTTGTTTGATAGGAAAATAAGAAAAGTTATGTTGAAAATGATTGAACAAAATTTAGGTGAAATGGGTATATATGTAGAATATCGTGGCAAGCACATTATATTGTTTGCTATTCCCTCGGTTCACTTTTACTTGTCCAGTATTTTAAAAATAGATTTATGATCAAAGCCAGTTTGAGGATTTTTTACATTCATTAAACCCTGCTGGTTTGCCTCCTTACAAATTAATCTTGAAGGAAAACTGTCCCATTATGTTGTTGCGAAACTTAAATCCTTGTGAAGGTCTATGCAATGGTACACGACTCATATGCTGTGATTTTAAGAGCCGTGTTATAAGCGCTAAAATTGCGAGCGGTGATTTCAAAAATACACATGTATTTATTCCTAGAATACCGTTGTTATCTTCAGATGATGAGAAATTACCTATTCCATTTAAAAGAACACAATTTCCAGTACGCTTGTGTTTTGCAATGACGATAAATAAAGCACAAGGACAAACATTAGATTATGTTGGTATTTATTTACGTGAGCCAGTGTTTTCTCATGGCCAGCTATATGTTGCTTTAACGAGAGCAAAGAGTTCAAGCCGTATAAAAATATTAATCCGACCATCTACGGTGGATAACGATGATGACCGGTCTACATATAACATAGTATATGATGAAATCATTCAAAAAGCACTCCTATAACTCTATAACTTTCTTTTTCATATTCCTTGATTGACCATACATTGTTTACTTCAATGATTTTCTTGGGGCTTGAAATAATTTCTCTGCAATTTCGTAAGCACTAAATAAGTTGGCTTGTGTACCTTCAAATGCTTGCTAAACTTTTAGTCTTTTGCTATAATTTTTCGATGTGCAATATACAATCAAAATGCTCAGTGAAAATTTTCACGGACTGATCAGTGAAAAATCTAAAATTACAAAGGCTTGTTATATATTTCCACGATTTTCGTTCAACTCTGTGAAGCTAGCCTACCGGGGAAAAATCAAGTTATTAACTCCGCCTGTGTTTTAGTTACATTATTGGATCACAGCCGGTCCCAAGCCCGGACAAAGGAGGAGGATTTACTATCTCTCCGTGTTTTACAATTCTAAAATGCAGGGTGATCAGTGAAGCAACATATATTGCATCTTCCAAAACCTAAAGTATATCATAATGCTTCTGTCACCCAGAAGAACTTTTTGCTGCTACCTAAACTTTGTTCTTACTGACGGGCCTGGCTCGAGTACCTCCTCCTAGGTGACTCACAAATGTTTATCTCCATTTTGGTTACAAAAATATCAATATTTTACCTCTTTTTCATTTATGCAAAATTTGGAGTTATTTTGGATGTGCTTTTTGTTTAAAACTTTTCATCATTTAAATATAGTTATTGCAGGTGGTTTTGGAAGAGCACAGGTTGGTAATTTTAATTTTTGGGTAAAAAGCTCTGTTTCTTCAACTATATTGCTATCATGAATTCATGATTTGATTTATTAGCTTTTGGAGTGAGTTTTGTTCATACTATATTGACTCCATAATTTCCTTTTTGGTTTTCTTATGTGTTTGATTTTTGTTATTAAACTATGCCAGGCCACATTTGCAGTCGCTTTGGATGCCATTTGGCATTTGAAGATGTTTCTTTGTAAGTTATTCCAAAACTTGAGTTTATTTCTATTATCTACATAAATGAATGGCAAGCTATTTATATAGTACAAATATAACAACCCTTTCGCCTGTTCATATAAGTACATATATAGATCTTACACTGAAGTCAACTCTTGAATATTTGAGACCTTCGGGTACCATACAAACTGTCTAGCTTTGTGTCTGCTCTAAAGGGATAATGTGTTTTATTTACGAGCCTTAGATTTTCCTTGGTGATTTTTACTTTTGTAAGATGAATATTTTTATTTTTAGTTCTTCATACAACAGAACTGAGCGCTTTGATTTTCATTAAAGGAAGAGGGTTTATTATCTGTTAGCAACAACTTTTTTATCTCTTTCTAACCTATTAAAGCCGTTATGGTTGATTAATTGGTTCCCTGTTACGTATTTTAGTTGATGTTGTCAATGGAGCTTTATTAACATATTTATCTTTCGATATCAATTTCTTTGAAACTACATTTGTTGACTAATTTTATACTTTTTTTAGCAGAATCTTTTCCATATTATGCACTTCAACTGTAAATTAATCTTCTTATCCAGGTATGCTTTTTTTTTTTCAAGTTTTGCTCACCAATAGACTAAATGGCTATTTGAAGTTTGCTTTCTTCAAAACTATACTGTAGAGTAACATAGAGGTATTACTTTCATAGATGTATTTGCATATCCTCTGACGACTAAAGTTCTGTGAATTTTTTGGATAGAGACAATGGCATACATCCTTACACCACATGTTTTGAAATATAACTTTGTCATCACGTAGGTGAGTTTCATGTAAAATATTTTATTTTACTGATTTCTCGAAAATATAAACATCTTATGCTAAAGTTTATCAGACGCACAATTAGAATCAATTACAATCCCATTGAACCTTAGGTAGCAGCTGAGGTCCCCAAATTTGACTGAAATGTGAAAGATTTCATGCTTGGTTGGTGTCAGGTAAATGATAAAATTATTTCATGTAAGCGCACTTTATTGAACTCTTTTAAAATACAAAGACTTGGGAATTCGGACAAGTCTGTTCGAGAAGATCTGACCCCTTATTATACGTTTCACAAATGGTATGACTTTACTTCGTTGTTTTTAGTTTTATCATGGTTTCATTACATTGGATATATATTATGATGGAGTAGTATCTTCAATTCTTGGTATGACATATTTTTAGTTGACAGTGGTGATCGCTGGCTAGTGACATATTTTAGTCACTAGATGGGTTGATTTAGAGAAGACAGACTACGAACCTTTATTTTAGGAGTGAGTGAAGTATAAAGTGATTGAAAATGTTACTACTATATTGTTAATAATTTCCAGGATTAGCTGTTTAAAAGAGAATTTATTTAGCTTAACAGTTTCAGATATCTACTAACGTTCCATCTTGAAGTCATCTTCTGAATAAACATCTGAGAGCCAAGCCATTTTGTGAATCACTATTGAAAATAGTTGGTGGTAGACTGTTAATATTGGACAACTTTCTCCACCAAATATCAGACCAAAACTTAATTCTGAACAGTGTAAAGGACACTTCAGCTGAAGTGAAGCAATTGGAAGATCAAGCAGTATAATGAAAGCTGCAAGAGTTGAGATATCAGCTGCGTCGAACAAAATGAAGAAAGAGACAGTTGGAAGTGGAACAGAAGATTGCTGAACGAAGGAAGAAAGTTGAAGCTGAGTTGCAAGAAGCTTTAAAAGAGAAAAAGAAAATAAAAATGATGGAAAATATGTGTTCATTAGTAGAGCGACTGTACAAAATTTTTCTCTGTTAAATCATTTTCTTTTGTTGACAAATTATCATTTGTCACTAGAAAAAACGCAAAAGGATAAGTGGATTGCCTCTTATCGTGTTAGTACTTGGTAGGGCCTTTTAATTATAAACCTTTCATCATTTTGTGGTCTGCATCAATCTTTGGCAGCCCCCTCATGATTAAAAGATGTCCATTTACTTTATATATATTGAAAGTTACTCTTCTATTTCAACACACACCAAATTTGATGGCCAAGATCCTAAGAAATAAGTCAAACTACGAGGAAATCCCATATACCATGTGTACTTTGTTTTACTTTTTATTCTTTTTCATATGTGTTCTGCCAAAGAAGAGGCATCTAAATAAAGTTTTTACCTCTGTACTGATTACCTTGAACTTCGTTTCTACAGAAGAAGAAGCAGCTAAGTTAAGGCATTTCGTAGACGAGCCTGCTTTTACTGATCTTCATTGGGTAATCTCTTGCTTTAGACTTTTGATTTTTCCTATGTTACTGCTTGTATTGAGTATACACATGCAAAATGCACTTAAAGTAAATAACGAACACTGAGTTTCAAGTTGTTGCTCTAGCTGTAAGCCGTTGTGTTTTACAACTGAAATGTAACATGCTTATTGTACCACTCTTTCTGTTTCACTGCTACATTATTTACACTTTTCAAATGTCGGTGAAAATTGTATAACTAGGTTGTCCTCGAATTTATGGTTCTATATTTGGGAACTTAACAAGAGCTTATCACACGACGACTAAACTAATTGTACATCATTCTATGTCTATCTAAAGTACCTATTCATTCTGGTGAGTGGTGAAGTACCTCTTTCTTTGCCATATCTTATTGTTGGATTCAAGCATGAATTTTTCCATAATTAGGTTATATTGTTAAGAGTTTTACATTGACATAGTTTTTCATATAGGAGACACTACATATACCAATGGATGTGATTGCAAGGTTTGTGCCCTCAACAATATTGCATCTCATCCAGCTTCCACATTATTTTTTATTTATTTCTTCTTCTATGATATATGAACTCCTTGGACTGGTAATCATGACTGTGATTTGGCCTGAAACTAGCTCCTTATATGCCGGTACGGATTCTGGTGTATGTTCCCGCAGATAATAAAGCTAAGTTTTGGTAATAGACTATTTTCTACCATTCATTATATTTGACATGGAAGTCTGGGCAACCAATTGTTTAGACTCCTCCTCTCCCTATCCCTCTCCCCACAAAACACACACACACCAAAAAAAACAAAAGGCAAAGAAAGAATCAGGTTCCGCTGTAACTAAGTACAAGGAATTTTTGTTCAAATGCTTGTACTGAACAGTAGCATGTACCCTTGCATATTTTTCAACTGAAGGTCTTGGTTGGTTTTAGTTTGTCCAATCCCTATAGTGAATGAAAATGAGTTCATTGTTTTTTGGTTCATAGTTTTCACTTTTCACTATTTAGAAATACTTTACAAGTTACTTATAAGAAATCTTTTTTAGAGTTATAGAGAAAGATGTTGAATCTTCACCCTTAAAAAACAAAACAGGATATTCAATTTGGGATGTGGAAGCAAGAGATGAGCCAGTTACATTCCCAAAGAGCTTATTTGCACCATGTCTGTTGAACGTACCTGAATTCTTTATATTAGAACAGTCTTCCGTCAACTTCTGACATTTGCTATGATTTATGTATCCTAACTGCAGGTATTCACCAGGTTATAGCATGTTTCACTTTTGCATAACAGACAACGAGCATGATTGGAGAAAGGGATGAACATTGTCTTGCATCAGTAGACAAACAGAAGTAGTCTTGGCTGATTTTTTCGGCTCATCGGGTTATGGCATAGGAAGCTTTGCAAGGGTGTTACCTGAGTATTCTTGTAATTACACAGTATTTTTTTCAAACGAAAACACGCTATAACTTAAAGTGTTGGGCAATCCCATCTAGTACAAGAAATATATTCAGCAAGCAAAAGATTAGGTCATGGCTTAGACGTTATCATGCATGGCTATCACCTATCGGTTGCGCACCAATATTCTACACTTTCCAAGTTTTTGTTTCCCTTTATAGAGAAGCTAGGTGTGTACAGCTCGAAAGGATATATAACAAAAAAAGTGATCTAGTGTAATTTTGAAAGAAAAAATATCACTTCTTGTCTATTACTCCTTCCGTTTTCTTTTGTTTGATATTATTTCCTTATTAGTTTGTTATAAAAGAATGAAGTATTTTTATATTTTTATAATAAAAATTATTTTTGTAGCCCCACAAGTGAAATGACATATTTAAGACCATAAGTTTTAAATTATTTATTTATTTCTTAAACTTTGTGTCGAATCAAACTATGCAAATAAATTACAACAGAAGAAGTATATTTTAGTTTGTGGCATTTAAGTCTTTTACGTTCCCCTGAGAATGGTAAGAGAGATCTAATACTTATTCGTATAGAATTTCCATAAATGGCTGGGAAAACGTACCAAGAGGTCTCCTATGATTTTCGAAGGAAAATTTTCAGTTTGTGTCCTTGACAGTGGCGAAGCTAGAAAATTTTCCAAGGGTGTTCAAACTTGAACAAGAAAAAAAAAAGTCTCAACAAGTAGGTGCACCGAAAAATTTAAATCAAACAACGTGATATCGAGCTAAATTATAAAAATACAGGTAATAATACAAACAATTGGATAAATGCAAACTAATATAAAGAAGCATCGAAAAGAAATTCTACTTATTTTGGTAGATTGATTTTGAGAAGCCGAAGTTATTTTTGGTACTTTGTTGTAAAATTTCAACAAGTTCATTGCAGCTTCAACTCTCTGAATGTATAAAGTACCAATCAAGTACACCTCAGTTCCATTCTAGCAGTGCATCTATATGAATATTTTGCAGCCATTAAGCTCTATTTAAAATTAGGCTCATCTCATTCCAATACTAAATTTTTTGCTTTTTATGGCAAATTAGAATTCTCTGAAGTCTCACACTTATATCTACATGAACACACACGTCTTTTCTCAATGAACCAGTTCATGCACTTATACTAAATGGAAGCTGCTTAAAACAACTTCGAACCCGTGTTAAACTTGGAAAAATAAATTAGTAAATTTGTTGAACACCCTTGAAAAATTTTCTAGCTTCGCCACTGTTGACACTTATGTTTATTTGAAAATAATGCAACAATATATAGAAAAGAGGGGATAAATTTTTAGATTTTTCCATATCTTAAAAATAAGGCAAGCCTCTAAATTTATAGACAAAGGAAGGGTGAGATGGAGAGGTGCAATCCAAAAGGTGCCTCTTCCATTTTCCATTCACACCCTTTAAAGAAAAAACGCAACAATCCCCCACATGAATGGGGAATGGACATATGTGAAAAATATGCACGAAAATACTGTGTGATTCGCAAGTAAGGATTAATCGCATCTGGATAAGTAGGTTTCCCTTTGAACTTCCGTAGTGAACTTATGTCGGATATACTCGGTCAATCGGTAGATTTGATATCTTTGAACCGTCGAGCTTTGGTGTATACCTAGACAACCATAAGTCACACAATCAACCCTTAACCGTCTTTGGTTCTCATTGTTGTGTTCGTTTCAGCCATGAACACCACCTGGTTCATAAGTGCGTAGAGAACTGGCCTTACGGAATTCTCCTTGAAGCGGCTTACACTTCACACTTACATAGGTGATTCCTAAACGTGTTATCCCGTAGATACACTATTTGATATACCCTGTATCAAACTTAGAAACCATTAAAAAGCCTTAACGCTTTATCCTTGGTACTGAACATTGTCTTATCACGAGAATGAACCAAAAAGAAATTTTATTTGACAATGTTGAACCGTCATTAGTAACTTTGTTTGAGCTCCTTGAACCTAGATCTTGGGATCTCCAGTCTTCTAGGTAGAGTTACCGCCACAATGACTTGTCCTCGGCCATATTCACATTCCCTTCGATGATCTTTCAACTGCCTCTCTAGTTAGGCCTTTTATAAGTGGATCCGACACATTATCGCTTGACTTTACATAGTCATTTATGATAATTCCCCTAGAGAGTAGTTGCCTAACGGTTCTATGTCTTCGCATATATGACAAAATTTTCCGTTATACATAACGCTCCCAGCCCTTCCTATTGTCGCTTGACTATCACAATGTATACATATAGGTGCCAAAGGTTTGGGCCAAAATGGAATATCTTCCAAGAAATTCCGGAGCCATTCAGCTTCTTCACCGGCCTTCTCTAAGGCTATAAACTCAATCTCCACTGTAGAGAGGTCAATGCACATTTGTTTGAACGATTCCAAGACATCGCTCCTCCATCGACTGTTTAGAATCGGTTGAACCGGTGATGTAAGTTGCATCACTATACCCCTCTGTTATCGAGAGATACTTATTGTAGTGCAAAGCATAATTTAGAGTATACTTCAAATACTTCAAAACTCGTTTCATTGTCATGAAAGTTCAATGTAAACTTTCTTATGTTGTAGACTAATACGTCTCGACTTTCGATTGCATATCAGATTATTGACTACACTTAACGTAGCAATAATATATTATAACAATAACAGGAATGATTGGCATCAGTTGTGTCCAAAACCTTTTAATATATAATACATTTCGCAATCACTCTGTCAATTTCAAGTATTTGTATGCTATTTATTCATACATCTATATGATATGCAAATTATAGCACCTTCATTTATGAAACAAATCCAACTTTCAATGGATTTTGGTCATACTCATCGGTTGGTTCGCCTCATTATAGACCAACCTATTAATACATTTGTTCATAAATGGTCTTGTCCATACAAAAACATAAAGACGTATCTTTCTATGAAAAGTCACAACCTTCGAAGTGACATCATTTCATAAAAGAACTAAACAATATAAATTTTCAAGAAAGAAAATAATCTTTCGAGAAAGGCACGTGACCAGCTTCCGAATTAGTAGTTTCATCAACCAGTCTTCACTAAGACTGAACGACTGATGATTCCACCGACTACCATATCAATATCCACTAAAGATTTGTGGGGTCCAAAAAATATATCATTTAATTCTTCTAAATAATATATACATCACGTCTAACATTAACTTTTGTTATGCATAAGCTAAATGCCCCCACATTTCACATGTTTCATGTGCCTTTTCTATCAACATATAATCCATATATAAATAAACAATGACAACATAGTCTAGAGTATTCTTAATGTAAATACACTAGTTTGAAATCATTTGACAATATTTTCTAGTTAAATTTCACATGCCATTGTTTGGGTGCTTGTTTTAGTCCGTAAAGTGACTTAACAAGTCGATACACCTTATTTTCTTTTTCAGGAACCACGAACCCTTTAGGTTGTTCCATATAAATTTCTTCCTCCAAATCTCCATTTAAGAAGGTTGTCTTTACGTCCATCTAATGGATTTCAAGGCCATACACGACGACTAACGCTATTAACACCCGAGTAGATGTAATCCTCGTTACCGGCGAGTATGTATCAAAATAATGAAGACCTTCTCGTTGTCTAAATCATTTGACAACTAATCTTACCTCCTTATATTTGTCAATAGTACCATCAACTTTCATTTCCTTAATGAAAATCCACATAGAATGCAAAGTTTTTTTTTCCGTGGAGGAAGATCAACCAATTCCCAAGTATGATTACTTAATATGGATTCTATCTCACTATTGACTGCCTCTTTTCAATATTGTGCTTCCGAGGAAGACAATGTTTCTTTAAACGTTTAAGGCTCATTTTCCAACAAGAATGTCAGAAAATCCTGTCCAAAGGAAGTAGTTATCCTTTGATGTTTACTACGTCTTGGATTTTTTCTAATTCAACGTACTTTTCTTTGCTTCTTCCCCAGTTCGCTTAGATACTTCACTAGATGACTCACATTCCTTTTTATACGGATAAATATTCCCAGAGAATTCAATATTATCCGATTCGATTACCGTATTAATATGAATGTCGGGATTTTCTGATTTGTGAATCAGAAAACGATATGCTTTATTATTTGTTGCATATCCTGTAAAAACGCAATCAATAATTTCCGGTACGATCTCTACCCTTTTGGGTTTAGGAACTTGCATTTTAGCTAAGCACCCCCACACTTTAAAATATTTGAGTTGGGCTTCCTTTCATTCATTTCTCATATGAATGGATTGCGTTTTGTTATGGGGAACTCAATTGAGTATTCAGTTAGCTGTAAGAATAGCTTCTCCCCACAAGTCCATAACTTATCAACAAGGCATTTTATCGTCTCTTTTAACGTTCTACTCTTTCTTTCCGCAATTCCATTAGATTGCGCTAAGTAAGGGGCAATCGTTTGGTGAATAATGCTATATTCCAAACATATTTCTTCAAACGCCGCCTCTATTACTTTGTAGATCCAACCACATGAACTGTTGTTGTCTCATAACAGAGCCAGAATAAATGGTGAAGTTTTTAATCTTCAAACCAATTTGACACAATCAGAATTAATAAACGGTAAAGTTTTAATCTTCTAACCGAGTAATACCTGATAACGGATCTAATAAACGGTGAAGTTTTTAATCTTCAAACCGAGTAATATGTGACACAATCAAATTTAATAAACGATGAAGTTTTTAATCTTCAAATCGAATAATAAATTAGAGTAGAAAATTACTAAGATTTTAATCTCCAAAACGAGTATAAAGTCACTTAGATTTAATTTCCGACAAATGAGTAGAAAGTCACGAAGACTTTAATCTCAGCGAATGAGTAAAAAATCACGCAGATTTTGATCTCGAAGCAGGAGTAGAAAATCACGAAGATTTTATTCTCCATATCGAGTGTAGAAAATCACGAGAATTTTAATTCCCTTTCCAAATGGTTTTCCAACTAAACCATCATAACACTTTAATCTCTTTCTCTAATCATACACACATATGTTTATCTTTACATATATTATATCCATGATCTCAAGAATACTTCAAGTATTACTGTAAGCCTAACTCATATCTTACAACCTTGAAATAATTTTTTCATATAATTTCAAGCATGCTACCAAAGTTATATACCAAAAGAAATAACTAATATAACCTTAGTTATTCTTAATTAATTTGCATGCAAGACACAATATATATTTGAGATCACCACATAATGAACATCTACTCTAACATTTATAGAAACTAAATTTCATAAATCACAAAGAGTAGA